TGTATCCTATATTTTTATTATTTTTGGATCACTGTCCAAAAATGTTTTACAATTATTGTCTTTTAAAAATATTTCGGAATCATATACTAAACAAAATTATGAGATACAATAAAATCAAAATACTCTTTTCTAAAACTCTTTTTGAAAACATGTTTTGAATATTATTTTTTTGAGAACATATCCAAACAAGCCCGAATCAACTTTCAAGTGTGTTTGTGAAAGCTGGGGTGAATATTGAAAGGGTAATACTTAATGAAACTTGCAATGTCTCAAAAAGGTACATCACAAAGTTAAAAATAATAGATGTCCAATGAGGCAAGTTTATGTAGTCATGTGGGATACAATCTCTCTTTGCACTTCCTATTTTCCTTAATCTCCTTATAGTCGAGTAAACACTTTACTTTTGACAGTCGAGGAAGTTCTCATATGTAGCTGGACATTTAAAGGTTGAAGACCCACCTTTATGTGGGTTTGCGAATTTGATCATGCATCTTGCAGCCTCAAGGAGGCCTCCCTACCCTCGGATCACATTGGAAGAGAATTTCATCCTCCTCACCGTCACTTGAACGATCTGCATAGGTGGATTTGATGATATGAGACGTGGGTCCTGCCCAAAGATATTTTGCAAGGAAGCATGATGAACATCATGAGGCTCAGTTGACTCGATTCATTGTTTGCTGTTTAACTGTGGTCCGCAGCTCCTCCACCTCTCATTTATGTCCAAGGAAGTCGGTCATTGTGACTGCTCAGTTGTCCAGGGCACTGGTAGCTCCCTACTCCGATACTAATTTGCGTAGTGGAATTAACTAGCGAACAACATAGCACTATTCGAGAAAGAACTAAGCAAGAAGAACCGAATCTTCTTAATTTTCAAGACAATATGCAATGCATATACAACCTCTATGGTAATTACAGACTCCTAGTGACGTCTAAAGCAAAATTGACTCCTACAATTCAAATTAAGCAAAATTGTCCCTAGAATTAAGCACTAACAAATTGACTACTAATGCATTCATTTGACATTGGTATTCCATGTGTCCTAGAGTCAAAATTACCAGCTGACTGGCAGTTATGATAAATTTATGCAATATGGCATCACACACATATTTGGAACTTTGGAAGAGGTTTTGGAGTTTGCTTAGGAGGATCTTAGTGTAGATGGAGTTGAATGTCATTCAAACTCATCGAGAGAACCTTTTGTTGTTTTCGAATTATTGACTTCTTTCTCATTAGAACTAAACCTGTGATGATGATGACTTGATACTGAATTGCTAGCTGAAGTATGAAAAAATGCAAAGTCCTAGAATTTTAACAGAGGAAGGATTGCACTTATTTTGTTGCAGGAATTATACCATGAATTGCATGCATTGGATAGATTTGAACAAGATTACAAGCGAAAGCTTCAAGAAGAGGATAACTTGAGTGCCGCTCAGAGAGGTGTGTACATGTATTGCCCTAAACAGTATTGCTTTAATCCATTTTGTTTTTGTCACCTATTCGAGAGAAAAAACTGATCTTATTTTTTAATGATGTAAAATGGGTTCCTAGATATTAGTGTTCCTCTAAATGGACTTCCTTTAATCCATTTGGGGTTTTTCCTTCTACTCAGGAATGACACCAATCCTATTTTTTAATAACATTAAATGATTTATGAGATTATGGTTGCAGTGTATGGAGCAAAAAACTCCACACATAATTTATCTCCATCACAGTTGATGTGGTATCGTTTTGAGCTTCCTTTGGTATATTGACAATTACCTGCGGTTTTTAGCTATAGTTTGTCTTGGCCGCAATATCTTTCGATTAACATTGTTGAACTGCAATTAGCAAGGTCTAAATAGTAAGGGGTACCCCAATTCTGAGATTATGAACATGCTCCTCCTTTAAGTTAAATTTCTCTAAGCTATACAGAATGGTATGTAATTGATTTACTGATATAAAATGGTAGAATAGAGGTTTGCATTTGTGTGTGCACGTTGTGAACTTGTATGTTTAGTCAAGTTTTCAGGACCGTAATCATTTTATAGCCACCCAGATTTGGTGGTTAATATGATGGCTATTAGAACTCAGGAATACCTGTCACCAGCATGTTGACTTTGTTTGGTGATTCCAAAATTGTCCTATTCCATGGGCATTCGTAGCTCGGTATCTCCAGGCTTGCATGGATGGATCTGAAATTTTAGACGTGTGCCATATTTAAGCCAGGTCATGGCCTTTCCAAGAATGGCTTGGCCAAACCTAGCTCTACAAGTTTATTTAATACCAATTTTGTGGTTATGTTTATAAGGATAGTCGTATGGCTTGCAATCAAAATTGCATTTTTAAGAACAGCCTTGTGCTGGGGTTGTACTGATAACTTCGGTGCTTAATATGGCCTATGGCCGCTCTTACTTTCTTACATGTATAGGACCTGAGTTCCATGTTTTTAAATATTCTTTTTCTCATTTTCTCTGGCTTTCTAGACTCCATGGGGCTCTATGTTATGGATTTCGTGATTCGATTTGATTTTGTACTTTCTTGGGTCTTCATTTTTATTTGTTTAAGTGTATTCTATTTTGCTTTTTTTTTTTTCCTGAAATTTTATTGACCATGAATATAAGGAGCTTTTTTCTAGCATTTGACATTAGCAATTTGCATATTTCCAAACACACCTAAGATAAGAAATGTTGGTGCTTAGACATTTTTGTTTTAACTTTTTTCTTCCAACTGTAGGTGCTGTTTCCTTTTGAAGCTTGATGTACATTCTATTTTTTTGGGTGAAAACTTGGACTTGAAAATCAGTACACCCACCCACCCAAAAAAAAAGACTAAGAAAAAAGAGGAAAAATTTATTCACAAGACTTTGACAATGTTGGTAGTCTGTATAAGTTCAAAATTAGTAAGTTGCTTCATATGAGAGGTCGATTTAAGAATATGAATAAAAACTGTCGTGTGTAAGTTACGTTTCTTATAATAGCTTAACGTTCGGGGAGGGTTTTAACAATGTATATCAACACTCTTTGCATGAGACTTCTCATGGATGGGCCATCAATGTATTATAAAGGAAAAAAAGACACGAAAAACGGAGAATGTGCCACCTCCATGAAAAAACAACGTGCTAGTAAGAAAGTCGTAGAGTTTCAGCACAAGACTTTTGTTTGATATCATTTTGACAGGAAACTGCTCAAAAAGCTTGATGAAAGAATATCTGTTAGCACTTCCCTTCCTATGGTTTGTGCCTTCCATGAATAGAACATGCACAGAAACAGACATACTATTAAAATAGCTTAAGTTGATGGAAAGGGGTGCAACTTAGCTACTTGTATCATTGCATCATGGACGCACCCCTCGCATGCTTGAATTATAGTTATACCATGTTAGTGAATGAGTGTTTTGCAAGTTTAAGTTGTTCGAAAAGAGGGGGAGGGTTATAGAAAATGAGTAATGTTTGAACAGTTTCCCTCGTTTGATGCCCTTCTCTAATGAACTGGCTTCACCAAATTTCAAATTACCGAGCAGGCTACAACAGTCAAAATGTGCCTTTTCTGCTTCTACACCATGCTAAGGCAGATCCTTCTAAACCTAAGATATGGTTAAAGAGGGATGTACAATATATTTCAGGATGTTTTGCATGTTAAGAGGAGAAATGGCACCTCTACTGACCCCTCCATCTATTCAATGCTACATATGCTTTGTGGCAAGATTCTTTGCTTTGGCATGGTTATTTTTGGTTGCTTTTAATGATATAGATTCTGTGCCTTGGATATCTCTCAAGGTCTTTCACTGGGGAGAACAGGCTAAAAGTTTGGCACTGTATTTGGGTCATTGCAGTGAAAAAATCTACAAAAATATGAGAAGTGATGGGTGGACAAGGATTTTGAGTGAAACAGTTGCTTTTTGACCTGTTGAGGCCTTAGCTTTAGTTCCCTTGGAAATCAATAAGGTGCCTTTGTATTTAGTTTTTCCTGACCAACAGTCCATCTTTCTTTTTTCTAAGCTTGGTAATTCTATGTTATTTCAATTGAAATGCTCTTAGGAGCTTGACTCCACATCGTGTAAAAAGCATTTTAGAGATTATTGGGCTGATACGGTATTGCCTTTCTCAAAAAACTGTGTAGAAGTGTTGCAACAACTGGGATCATAGTTCTCAAGAATCAGCCTCATCTTTGAAAACAACAAATATTGGATTGAAGTTGTTCCAAGGGGATGTTTCGCTTGGCTGTATAATGATTTTATTTGTTCTCTGCACTTTGCTTACTAATGAGAAAAATAATCAGTTTGAGTTTTCTAAGGGGCCGAAATCATTTGATTGAGTGTGGAGTTTTGGAGCCCTTTAGGGAGAATTTCTGACTAAGGAGTTCTGGTTGTAACTTTTGTTGCTATCTTTCCACTGATCAATTCTTTCCTTTGTCTACTTTACTTCCTTTCAGAATTTGTGGAATCCTTTATTCTCTGGTCCTTTAACTTAATCAGCGGTTCTGGTTTTTATCCAACCTGTTGTTTCTTTTTTAATTATGCCTATCTGTCTGTGTCTGTGTGTGGATTATGACCTGTATGATTAGTATTTATTTGTGTGTATAATTTCTTAATTGTTTGTATGTAATGTTTAGGAGACAGCCTTGCAATTTTAAGGGCAGAATTGAAGAGTCAAAAGAAGCACGTAAGAAGTTTGAAAAAGAAGTCACTCTGGTCCAAGATTTTGGAAGAGGTAGCAAGTCAGTACTACTTTATGTCTCTTTCTTGGAGTAGAGAGAGTAAATAATGTCTTTGTTGTGCATGAGCATGGGCTTGGTGGTTATATTTAAATTTGTTGCCATTAATTTCTGGAGATTCTTTTGGTGGACCAAGCTAATGTCTTGTATTTATCATTTTAAGGTGATGGAAAAGCTTGTAGACATTGTCCATTTCCTGCATGTGGAGATCCATGATGCTTTTGGCAGTGCAGGTATGCAAACCAATTTTAAACTTAATTTTCTCTCAATGGTCATATGAGAGTCTGCCTTGCTCTACTCTCCAGCCCAATTCAATGAAGGATGGGAGAAAAGAGAGATTTTTGGCTCCTTATATATATACACACACACACATGCTCACATATATTTTAAATTTAGACGCTCCCTAAATGTTTTTGTACTCATTGAGAGATCCAAAACTAAATACTTGGGGGCAGGTGTTTGGTAAGTAAGGGATAGCATGGGCGAAAACAGACTACTACAGGATATTTGCTAAAGCAAAATGATCTCTAACCAGCACGCACCAATCAATTTTGCTCCTTTTAAACTATTAGTAATTTCCCTTTTCACTTACCAAAAAAAAAAAAAATCTCATGGAAGTGTTCCCTGGAAGATTTTCTTTTTCAAAATATTGCTTTGAAGAGAGAAGAAAAGAATGCTGCAGTTCATAAAGATTTGGAAACATACAATCACGTGGGGCATAAGAAATATTGTGGTTGGATGATCTATGCAAGTATTTACCTCAAATATTCTTACCCTCTACAAAACATGATGATGGGGATTGTGTAGGAATTGGATAGATATTATAGATTAATTATGATAGTTATTTAGATACTTTTAATATTTAGTTTTTAAGTAATTTCTTTTAACTTTTAAGGGTTTAGTTGTCATTTTGATTATTTATTATTTTAGGGTTTGTGATCTCCTTATATATATAGGATTTGTGAATTCCTTATATATATAGGGGATACATATTTGTTGAGCGACTAGATTTTGATTATTGATATTGAATTTTCTTTCTAAAATTCTCTCTCTATTTTCATTCCCTTCTTCTTCTTTTCTCATCTTTGTCTTCTTCCCTTCTCATCCCTAATTCTTCCTTAATATGATCTACATCAATTTGAAATCAGAGTCCAACTTCGATTCGTATCCAAAAAAAATTACTGTTCACTGTTCATGCGTGCACTGTTCATCCCGAAAATACTATTCACACGTACACTGTTCATCCGAAATCACTGTTCACGTGTGGCACTGTTCATCACCATAAGAAAAAAAAATTCTAGAACCAGCCAAAAAAAAAAAGAACTGTCCAGTAGACTTAGAAAATTGCAGCAACATCTCAACTGTTTTAGAAATTACAGAAACACTCCAGAAAGTTTCAAAGCTGCAGAACTACCACAAGAAGTTTCAGAATTATAGAAACATCAATCTAGAAGTTATAAAAATTGCAAAATTTTTCCCCCAAAAGTTCCAAAAATTACAAACTCATCCCCAAAAATTTCAGAATTTCTTCTTGATTATGGTATGTATACTCCCATGAAATTTGAGACTAATATTTTTATTCATTGAAAAATTAGAGAATTTGCAAATGATCCAAAACATATTTTCTTCTATTTAAGTTCTCAATTCTCGTAATTATTAATTGCATCCTTGAACTCATTCTTATGTTATTCTCATCTTTCAAAGTCAATCATGAGTTCATATGATCATTATGATGCTTATTCATAAACTTATCCAACATCAAGAATGTCTCAAGTTCATAGTTCTCCACAACGTCATCATTATACCTATTCTACTCCTAGAGCTTCTCGGAGTCATCATAAAGTTGATAATAAGTTTGAGTTTTATTATGAAGATTATCTAAAATACTACTCTGAGACCATAGTTATCAAATCGTGTATCGGAAGGCGTATCGTAAGATACAAATATTGTATCGTATCGTGTATCGTATCGTGTATCGTAAGATACGATGCAATTTTAAATAAATAATAAAAAAATATATATACCTTTGAAAAAAAGTCATACACTCATAAAAAATATAGCATTTCATTAATACTCCACCAACTATTCAAGTTATCAACATAATCCACTACTATTATAATGCAAAGTTCACAACCATAGTTCACTAATTCAAACTTTAAACACCAAAGAGACTTCTAATCCAAATTTCTAACATTCATTTTGAACTCAATCTTCAATTTCAATTGAAAATGCATCATCATCATCATCATTGTGATCGGATGCCAACAAGTCTTCACTTGTCGTTTTTTTTAAAAAAAAATCAAAGCACAAAACGACGTCGTTTTTAAAAAAAAAAAAAAAAAAAATTGCACGTATCGTGCGTATCGTACCGATACGTATCGTATCGTAAAAACGTATCGTGTATCGGACGATACAACGCAAAAACGATACATAACTACGATCCGTATCGTTTTAGGGCTGTATCGTAACGTATCGTACGATACGTATCGCGTATCGTACGATACTAACAACTTTGTCTGAGACACTTAGATCACATAATAGGTACCAACGTCATGCTTCCTAAAGTCGTCATCAAGGTCAATCTGGATCAATCTTCAATGTTATTAGTGACCATTCAAAAGTCCAAACTGCCCTAGGAAAAAAGTTTGAGATATTTGAAATTGAAGTTGTCAATACTAAACATTCACTCAGCCAATTACTTGAAGAATGTAGAGGAGTAAAAAATTAATTATCTGAATTAACAAATCAACTTTTCCACTTGAATAAAATTCTTGTAAGTCATCAAATGGAAGAAAATAAAGACAAGTCTCTAGTTTCACCTAATGTAGGACACCCGCATAATGATAGCCATATTTTTGTTCCATTGGACCCTAATGCTTTACATCCTTCAAAACATACTTTCAATCGTTTGAGCATTGATACTAGTGATGAGATTATTTTTGATCCTACCATGTTTCCTACCTCATCGGTGTCAAAAGTTGAATCATCACTAAGCATTGAACTTGAGGAAAAATTCATTCAGTTAGTTTCTATACAAGATGTTGAGTACATTGAGCTATCTATTTTACAATCTGTTGGCAATTATTCTATGTCTACTATTCTGAATCATAATGACATTGTTGTGGATTCTTCTTCATTTGAGATTGTTGATTTTGTTTCGGATTCTTCTCCACCAGAGATTGTTGACATTGTTCTAGATTCTGCCCCACTTGAGATTGTTAACTGTAAGGGGTAGAAATCGCTACGGGATTTCAGCCTTTCACTCGAAGGATTCCGGCTGACCTGGCGGTACCGAGTCCCAGTAGCCTTTACCTCTCTTCGCCAATAGGACCCTTTTCTAAGGCAATCCTACATCAGAAGAGAGTCGTCTCTCCCCTTGCCATATAAGTGAACACTTCCTATGGAGGAGGTACCCACTAGCCACTTGACAGATCTCTCCTGTGGTGAACTCGGGTCAGCCAATCGAATGGTCAACTTTGCTGCTTGGAACAGACTGTGAGGTCCGGTGGTGGCCTGAAACGGTAATGGGTGACTTGAGTTCACCACGGGAAAGATCTGTCCTCGTGTTTATATTGTGCAAGATCCTGCACGCACATTAACTTTGATTCTTTGCCTATTGTCAAGTGTTCAATTGAATCTGTACTTTCTTATTTTCAGCATCAGGGTGTTATAATTACTCATTTGTCATTGATGTCTTGTCCCGTTGAATGCCAGTTGTTCAAATCTAATGGAAATTATTTTTCTATTCTTGAGTTTGGATTTAATGCTTATTTGTTTAATTTTTGATTAAATATTAGTATTAGTCCAGATTTTTATTGGAAGGACATGCTACTTAATCGAGGTACTCCAGAGCCTCTTATTTTATTCGCAAGTATTCATACAGATGGAGATTCTTGCATTTATCCTGGTCAATGGTTCTTTCATTCTAGATGAGGCATTATGTCATCTTCATCCTGCTCTCTTGGGGTACTTCTACTTTGAAGACTCTCCAGAGGAGAGTTTTTTTTCAACCGGAGAAAAATGATGGGGATCGTGTAGAAATTGGATAGATATTATAGATTAATTATGATAGTTATTTAGATACTTTTAATATTTAGTTTTTAAGTAATTTCTTTTAACTTTTAAGGGTTTAGTTGTCATTTTGATTATTTATTTATTTTAGGGTTTGTGATCTCCTTATATATATAGGATTTGTGAATTCCTTATATATATATAGGGGATACATATTTATTGAGCGACTAAACTTTGATTATTGATATTGAATCTTCTTTCTAAAATTCTCTCTCTATTCTCATCCTCTTTTTCTTCTTTTCTCGTCCCTTCTTTCTTCCTTTCTCATCCCTAATTCTTTCCTAATACGATCTATATCACATGAGTTCATTGCTTCCTGACTAAGAAGCACGGATATGGATACGGTGACGCGGATATAACACGATACAAATACGCGGACACATCATTTCTCAAAAAAAATAGGATACGGACATGTCAATGATGCACTAGAAGTAATTGCATATTGTAGCTCAAGTGATTTAATCCACTTATAGATTTGATTATAGTATTATAGAATATAAAAAAATCAACACTTGATTATAAGTAAATCTAATGTTTAGTCCTCTGATATAAAATTTTAGACTCATGGATTATGGTAGTCTACCAATACCATCATGACTTGATTATAAGTAAATCTAATGTTTAGTCCTCTGATATGAAATTTTAGACTAATGGATTATAGTAGTCTACCAATACCATCATCTATTTGTTTAATTGACGAAGTGTAGCAAACATGCAAACTTATGATGATAACTCTCATCTTTCTAAGTCCTCTTATTTAGTGAGACTTTTATGTATCTTTTGTTTTTATCAAAAAAACTTAAATAAAACTTTAACATGATTAGTCCTAACACTTGTATATTTTATTCATAGCATAAGGTATTAATCTATCAAATTTCAAGTTCTGTTAATTATGTGTTGGCACATCTTTAATTTTAGTCGTAGATACGACCTAAATAAGTGTTCGGACGCTTCACCAAATAAATGTCCGATGCGTGTCTGAGATTTAAGATTTTATCTTTTAATTATAGACACGACTAAAAGAGTATCAGATAAGTTTCAAAGAATGTCCAAGAAGTGTCAGTTTCTGACACGTGTTCGACATTGACACATCACCTTCTTGAGAGTGTTTGTGCTTCTTAGGACTTAATGATGAGCTCATTTGAGTTCCTTGAAGTGGAGTGAAGATTGTCAAATGCACTGGAACCAAATTTGGATAGATTATTTTTTTTTTGGAAAAAAAATGGTAGGAAACACGAGCTTTTATTTGTTGTAAAGTTTGATTTATGTAGGTGCTTTATCTTGACACTATTCCATCCCTTAGCATTGTTATGGTGTGCTTTAAGCTAGGAACTAAATATCATTTCAACACGTCCAAAATGTTTCTGTTTCTATGGAAACTGAAATGAATCAGTAATTGAATACTTAAATTCTTATATTTCAAGGTATTTTGGTATATCTCAATCAGTACGATTTGGGAGTATATGAAAGAATCTTTCTCATTATCATAAAGGATCCTAAAAAAATGAGTTTGTATCGAATAAAGTATATACTATGTTTTGCAAACAAATTTTCAAATTTATTGTTTGTTTTCATTTTGTTTCTAAAATTTTTTCAAAAAATTTTCGAACCGTTTCCATTTTCAAGTTGACCTATCTATGTACTGAAATTAAATTTTGCTCCTTGACTTTGAGTAATAGATGATTTAAGTTCTTATATGAGCTATTCCATGAGTAACTTAAATTGATTTTGTTCGTTTTACTGACATTCACAGTACCCTTGCAGATGGAGATAGACCAGTCAAAAACAACCATAAAAAATTGGGATCTGCCGGTCTTGCATTGCATTATGCAAATATTATTACTCAAATTGATACACTTGTGAGTTTTTCATTCAATTTAGTGTTGTTTTACTTTATTAGTGTTCCTTTTTTTTTTTAGTTCTAACAATTTTTAAATGGCTACTGGTGTCTAAGGTTACTGCCTTAAGGAAAAAATAATTTTCTGCATTCATTCTAGAAAATTTTTTCTAGTTAAAAAATTTAAAAGGGATTACCATATATCTTTCGGGTACAGAGCATATGTGGTTACATATCCATGTACTATTGTGTCCCGTGTAAAGCTCGTTTTTTTTAATACATGGGTTGAGTTATTATGGTTAAAAAGTTAAAATTTAATTGAATTTTTGTGGTTAAGAGGTTAAAATATAGGTCGAGTTACTATGGTTAAAAGTTAAATGAGTTACCATAATTAAAAGGTTAAAAGTTAAAATTTAAATGAGGTTAAAATATTAATTGTAATCTAAATCGTCCGATCTAAACGATATGTGTTGTTGTGCTTTTTTAAGGGAGGAGTTTAAACAGATCAAGTAGGAGGCTTTGCTTTATTATTATAGATTGTTGCTGGCTGATCGTAACTATGAAGTCTGTTAAATCCCAATTGGCACTAGCCAAATCATCCACTAATAAAAAATATAGACCATTTTTCTTTATATAGATTTCCAAGGAAGAGATGGTTTTCTAGAATTGTGATCACACTAGATGAGTATGAATTATAAAATATAAGGGGTTAACACCTGTAACGGTTTTCCTAGAATTGCGGGGACTATGCAGCTTTATCACTGTAGCTGTTTCCGCGAGTTGAACCCTTGATGCCTAGGTCAATGGAACAATCTTATCATTACACCAAGGTCCACCCTCAAAGTATGACAAAATATGACCATAAAATCATCAATTGGTGCAGTCCTCCTTATGCAGGGTGCGTCGGTGGGTAAGTACATTCTGGTGATCGAGTATAACTAACATTGAGGTGCAGGTGCTATCTAATCACAGATCTGTGTTTGTAAACTTGTGTTATCTTTTTTTCTGTTTGTACCTATGTTATCATGGAAAGTATATGAATATTGTTCATGGTAATTATTATAATTAATAATCCTCATTGTATGCTCTAATACATTTTTTCAGTTGTGTATAGAAAGTACTTCAGTAAAAAATTTTACAATATAATGTAGATTATTGATTTTTCCTACTTGACATCTTGATGTAATTAGGTAACTCGATCAAGTTCTGTGCCTCCAAATACAAGAGATGCTTTATATCAAGGACTTCCACCTAGTGTAAAATCAGCTTTGCGCTCCAAATTACAGTCATTTCACCCAAAGGAAGAGGTATTTATTCTATCCAATGGATCCAGCTTCTTGATACTTGCTGAGACATGATAATTCCCCCCCCCCCCCCCCACCCCCTCCAAAAAAAAAAAAAACACACGCAATAACAAAAACTAAAAAAAAAAAATTCTCTCCTTTACCTGGTAATAATTTGTTGCATATCCGGACATTCTTTGTCTTAACTATGCTCCTGAATATATTGGCATCTACTAAGCCATATGTAAGTGTTCTCCTCTTGGTGTTATTGCAGCTTACCGTCCCCCAAATCAAAGCCGAAATGGAGAAAACTTTGCAGTGGCTTGTTCCCATTGCCACAAATACAACCAAGTAAGATTGGCATACTACAAGAACATCTATTTCTGTCAGGATGTGATCATATTTGGTACTCCACTTTTATAGTTTGTTTTTTTCTTTAATTGCATGCTCATCATCCCATGAATGAGAGTGGTATGGAAGTAGTTCAATCAGTTTGCATAATAAGTGGCATATCCTCCAAAGTGGCTTTCTAACTACCTTGTTTGGGAACAGGACAAACCTGAAAGTGGTCACCGGACGTATTTTTTGGCCATCTTTGCTTTTTTGGCTACAAAGAACACGTGCTTTAAGTCTTCATATATTTTATTTTGTTTTTATAATTTTGGACGTCAATTCTTAATCTGTTTTGTTACTACAATTGGTTTAAACTAGAGCGCATCATGGCTTTGGTTGGGTTGGAGAATGGGCAAATACAGGGTAAGTTTGTTGTTTGGTGCTTATTTCTAGAATTTAGTATTTTATTCCTTTTGATTTACTGAAGACAGCTAAAAAAAATTTAGGTCTGAAGTGAACCGCAAACCTGCTGGCCAAACAGACTTGATCCGGATTGAGACGCTCCACCATTCAGATAAGGAGAAAACCGAAGCCTATATTCTCGAATTGGTAGTGTGGCTTCACCATCTCATCAGCCAATCAAGGGCTGCTGGCAATTGTGGAATCAGGTCCCCCGTTAAATCCCCAATTCGTTCCCCAAGTCAGAAAGCAATTCAGTTATCAATGCAACACCCCAGCTCTCCATCACCTTCACTGACAGTCGAAGACCAAGAGATGCTTCGGGATGTAGGCAAAAGGAGACCAACCCCGGGAAAAAGTAAGAGTCAAGAATTTGATACTGCAAAAACCAGGTTAAGTAAGCACCATAGGCTGAGTAAGAGCAGCAGTCACTCTCCAACGAGGGAAATTAAGAAGGATCCCTTTCCCATTAGGAGACTATCATCTGTCCCGGTCATTGACTTTGACATTGATCGGATCAAGGCATTGGATGTCATTGATAGAGTAGACACCATTCGAAGTGTATAGTTTTCAAGGGATCTAGGTGCATTGGTTTAAGGGAACCTCGTCTATGCATCCATGGCTTTGTCTTCTGCTGCATCACTTCCTGTTGATCTGAGTTGGTGGCACAGGAGATGCTTTGTGAGATATGTAGAAGATTCTGAGTGAGATCAGCTAATACTTTTCTGCATGTGAATTTGAGAAATGGTGCTGATTGAAAATGTACTGTGGTGCCCCGGGGAGGGATTTTGGCTGTCGAGAGATGGAATGCAAATTTAGCGATTTGTTATCATCAGTGTCGTCTATGTACAGGGTGTCTATTAGTTACTGAATAATTGGAAGTTATGATTCTGTTGCTTTTCTTTGCAGGGTTCCTTTTTTCTCTTTCTGGTAATCATGTCTGATTCTCAGTCTTCAGAATATGTGCATAGTGAATTGTTTTTTCGGCCTCGAGCAAAGCCAATGTTACCTTCTTTTCCCCCCCTAGTTTTTCACTTATCTTATTCACTGCCATGATTGTAGTGTTGGAGACCAAGGGAATTTGATTACATTACAAAGACTAACTGATGAAAACGATTGAGCAATCTGGACATTCATTGTTACTTGGTCATTGATATGCACAATTCACCAGGCTTTGTGGACTTTCATTGTTGCTCACTGATGTTTTCTTTACTATAAATTATTTTTCTGTGTACTTAATTTATCTTTCTTGTGCTTCAGCTGGATTCTGGTTCCTCTTCACCAAACCATTACAATTATTTGCAAGTTCTGTTTTCATTTGATTGGGGTGCATCCAAAATTCTAATTAATGAAAAAAAGGGTAAAAATCATAGTTGTTCCGTGAACTTTGTCTTCAATTTTAATTTGGTTATTTAACTATCAATTATGTCTTCATTAAGCCTTATTAATTTTCATTGTTAGATCAAACCGGAGATTAGCTCAGACTAATTCACTTCAGTGTTAATCTAATTGTGGAACTAAATAGAAGAACTTAACCGTGATAAAATTAATAATTGAGGGACTAAATTGAGACAATTAAGAAAGTTCAGGAGGCTTTGTCATCTCTAATCGACTCTTGATTGGGAGTTTAAAAATTGGGAAAAACGTATTTGTACCTAGATGGAACTGAAATCAAATTTTGTAGAAAAGAGTTTCATGAACCGAGAAAGATGAGGAGCTTTTAATTTAAAACATGGAAACCCTCATACCGATAAGAAAACTTGTTTAGTGACAAAAAACCGTGATTGGAATTATCACTATTCAAGTAATGACATTATAGGCACTTATAGGTCGGGTTCGATAAAATTATATGATTGTTCTATTGTGACTTGAATGTTTTGTGTTTGAGTTATGAGAACAATTTTTTTATACGTGAAGGTAAGATTATGTTTATTTCAAATTTCTTAAACACTATAATAACATGAGTCTTTTCATTGCTTTTTTAAGGATATAGTGATTTTATGATCGATTCATAACAATAATTTCTCCGTACATGAATGCAAGATTGTGCATATCTGAAATAGGCTCTTACGTCGTAACTAGCTTTCCAAATGATATGCATCTCCTATAAACAAGTGGTGATAGTAGAGGAAATATGGCCACAAACTATGGGCAAAATGACAACATTCATGCACAAAGATGTTTGTGTCTAACATCAATATTTTGACCAGGTTTTCCAAACAAGCTAATAAATTCAACTCAAAGGAGACACCCTAGAGACAGTCGTCGTCCACAAGCCTGAAATTCGTTGTTTTTGATAGCAGATTTTCTTGACCAAAAAGGAAAAGACAGGATGTTGATCATGTTAGAAAGAGAAAGACTTTATAACGGAAATGCATTCATCCATGACCCATGACCCATGAACCATAAAGCATGGCTCAATGTTTTGGTGAGAGAAATTATATATTAATTAGAACGTCGAAATATGTATTTATTAGGGTAATTTGTGCCTGAAGGTATGGCGTAATTTGATTTTGAGCGATATATTAGTGACTGTTGAATGAGTCTATTTAAAATCGTCGAATAAATTTATTAAAATTTATTTTATTTTATTTTATAGATTTGATTTAAATAGGTGTGCAGTCACCGTATAACTACCTACAGGGACTGTTAACACTTGATGTTTCAAATAAGTCCCTATGACCATCTCATCCGAGTAAATTACAGTAGTATTAAACACGTATTATTAGAATTTGATACGACAAAATTCTGTTTAAGTGATATTATATAAATAATATTTATTTATTTAGCTTATTTTACTATCTCATACGAGTTGATGTTTTTGAGTTGTTTTTTTTGGAATTAAGGCGGTTATTTAAAGTGGGTTTAATTAACAGATAAATTCTTAATCCGTGAATTTTTGATTTAGAGATTATGTATGTTGATTCATATTCCGAACACGATACAATTGGTAAATAGATCGAGTTTGTATAAAAACTAAAGACAAAATAATTTAAAGATAAGCTACTAAATCACATTTATAATTTATAATATAAACTAAGTCGGATTTTAATAAATTTATTTGACGGTATCTAATATACTCATTCAACGGCCTCCAAAGCCGGCCCATCTGTGGAGGAAAAGAAGCAGTGACTTTAGGCCCCACCAATAAAGAAGGCCTCAAAATTTAAATCCCAAATTTAAAAAGTCTATAACTATAGTCTAAGTCAATTTTAACCCATTAAAATTAGCCTTATAAAGCCCAATATGAAGGCCTAAAGCAACAAAAAAAACTCTAGATTGATTTTGGACCTAAAAATTTAATCCATTAATCTCACACAATAACATTTTTCAAGAAAAAAAAAGAAAATATATTTTGTACTTAATTTAATTATCTTATCTTATCTGGTGACGTGATAGATCATAGCTGTGGAATTAATAGTGGGTCCCAACTAATAATAGAATTCACCGTCAATCTAATGACAAAAAATGATAAAGTCGTCAAATAAGGTTTATGTAACATTGTCATTTTATCATAATCTTAAAAAACATAAGCAAACATTTATTTCGTGAGTAATGTCTAATTCATAGAAAAATAATTTTACAAGAGTGTCAATGACGAGACAATATAATCTGTCAAATAATCTTTGAATTTGAAAGTTTTGAAATTTTTTTATTTAATTTAAAAATTAAGTCAATTAATTATAGTATCAATAAAAAAAAATATGTTTAAAAAACTTCATTACAAATACTAAACAATTAATATGCATTCGTAAAAAAAAAATTAAATATTAAAAAATTTACACTATTATTAAAAAAAAGTCTCAATTGTATTTATTGCTTTAGGGCTCAAAACATATCAAGCCACCTCTGACGGTTACTAACATCTCTCTTAAAATTAATTTATATTTTTTAATATATTTTTACATACGAATTATTTTAATTAAATATAAATACAATACGACACAATACAAGTTGATTCAATACATACCTTGAATTTTAAAGTGTCCTAAATTATACAGCCTGTCTTTTTATCCAAATTGCATAGTATTCCAATGAGAAAATCTGAGACTAGTTCCTGCCATTGCCATCATCAATCGTTGACGACAGAAATGGTTAGTCCTCGTCAATGGTCTCTATCCACCACCATACTTACTACTTTACACTCACGGGAGAGGCTCTGGTACCGATGTTGATGTCTGTACTGTACCCTAAAAAATGTATGATTATCAATTTAGAATTCCTCTCAAACTTGTTGTGGCCTGTCACAATCTCATTCACAAACGATGTAATTAGTTCCGATTTTTTTTTTTTGTGATTATAACCTTGTATTTAGATCATATTATTTTATATCTCTATAAACCATAAATAAACTAAGATTGTTATTTCTCAACTAAAATACGTCGCGTACAATGAACGAAATTTATATTTTTTTTCACCACTATTCTATGTCTACCCCAACCATCAACTCTACACCTATCCCAACCTTAACTTTATTGGATAATTGTTCATCAATGTACTTATTTAAAAAAATAAAAATAAACGTGAAATAGTTAAGAAAGATGAAGAGAAATTCACATTTGAAAGTAGTTTTTTTTTTATTGAATTTAAAAATAGGTTAAAACGACATATGATAACCAAAAAGAGATGAAATAGAGTGACACACCTATTGGGTATCTATAGAAAAAATTTTAAAAGCATTTTAGGTTTAAATGTCCAAGTGGTGAGAATTGATTGGATGTTAGTTAATTAAATAATTTAAAATTCTATTAAATTATCTCAATACACCCCTCCTCCCCGGCGAAAATTATTTGTTTTATATATTTCTCAATTACATTAACTAAATGTAGATCTTCCATAAATTAAAAATCTTTCCCTCCAAATTCATTTATAACCAAATCAAAATTTGTTTAGTTCTAAAACAATTATACAACACTAATTTTCTTTTAATTCAATGCTAGGAAAACAAGTATTTTATTATTGTTTTAGAACTAAATGTTTTTTGATTTGGTTTTAATTGAATTTGAATGAAAGGTCTCGTAAGGTAAATAGCATATATTCTTTTAATTAATTAACCGATTAGAATTTGGTACCAACAATTTTATTATTTATTATAAAACCTATTAAACCAGTTATTCACATCTAATGCTAATCTAATTTATTTGTTATTGTTTTATTTAATTATTTTTATAACCATGTCATATTCATAATGAAATGACAGCATTATTTTTCTCTTTTTGATAATTTAGTTGAAATGACAGCATTATTTTTCTCTTTTTTATAATTATTAGGCAGAGTTTGGTACAATTATTGCACATGCACAACACATGCCTATGATTTTATTAGAACGATGCTCTTGTCATTGAACTGGCTTTTCAAATCTTTGATTTGTTCATTGCACTTTGTGGGTGGTGGGTTCATTCGTTATAGCTTTTTTGGTTCCTTTGTTCTTTGTAACTTGTTTAGTTCTTTGTTCTTGTCGTTGCTTAGTCCACCAAGATTCTCCATATTTTAGATGCAATGTCCTTCTTACCACAAGGACCCAATGTTTAAGTAAACAATGGATGTTAATAAAATTAGAACTGACA